TGCAGAAATGCTGCCTCTGTTGAAGTCAGCTGGCTATATTTTGAGGTCTGGCTTCTTTCCAGAGCAGAATAATTTCACTTTCTGTAAGCTAATTGCAAAAACAATAAATTCTTCCACTGGTCTCTATCAACTGCTAGCTTTTCTCTTGTGAAACAGTATTAAGTAGAAAAGGACAACTCTGCTTGGAAAACAAAAGTATTCCTTTGCCCATACAGCCCCAAAACCAAAGCGAAACTACATCCACCAAGCAAATATTAAAGGAGGGTTTGGTATGTTTATCCTTTTTCTTTTTTTTTTCTCTTTTTTTTTTTTAATGCACAATCACTTTTTTTTCCTCCTCTCCACAATAGCATGGGTAATACAGTTATTGCAATGTTTCAAGCCCAGCCTAAGGCATAAGCGTGAAATCTTACAGAAAAAGCATTTCACTGTAAAATGCTAAACTCTATTTTCAACCTTTAGTGCCTCAGACATAGAAAGATTTTCTAGTGTGAACACATCAAATACTCATGCTTTCTTCATATACTTTAGGAAAAGTCATCTTTTACAACAACAACAAATGATAATTCATGCTGTCAAAAGTTTGCTCGCTGAAGTGAGGAAAAAAAGCACCGTTAGCAGCTCCTCCTAATTGTTTGTGTCTGATATTCCCTAGAACGCAGGTCAGCAGCTTGTAGCACGTGCACAGATTTAGCATTTGACATACCACAAAGGCAGTGCAGGCTCTAAGAAAGGCAAGCTGTAATTCCTATTATCCACTAGCTGCCCCAACGATCAGCTAATAAGCGGTGTCTTGCCCCTTTGAAGGCACATCCGAGCTGACTATTAGCTCTACATGCTGGATTTGCCACAGAGAACAGTCATCTGCTACCACAGTGCTGACTGCTCCACACACATCACAGCCACTCACCTGGGGAACTTCCCATTTCTGCTCCCCTGCGCCAGCAAAGGAAAGCCAACAGCTGAGAGGACTCTTCCTTTAATTGCTCCTGAGCTGTAACTTGCCTTCTGTTCCCTTCATCTGGTGGGGCCAGAACACAGGTAAACCAGCCCACGCTGGCAAGCACTGATCGTATGAGCTCTTCGTGGCCTAGATTAGTCACCATAGGTGAAGATTCAGTTAGGGTTCAGCCCCACATTCAATACACAGTTCAGATGTGATCTGAAGAGCAAAGCTTTACAAGCCTTTTTAGAATAAAACTAGGACTGGTGACCCCTACTTTGACAAATGGTAGATTTGGCACACCATCCCTGACAAGCTGCTGACCCCAGTCTAAAATACTGTTCAGTGTCAATCTGCATAGCACCATCCTTTTTTTTGGCTCAGTGCTAACTAAATAAAGGTAGCTAGGCAATAATTTGAGGAGATGATTCAAAAAGCTTAGTGAGATTTTTAGGTACAAGCCTAACAAGTAAATTAGTAATGCATTTTATAAGAGTAAGACAGGCTGTAGACACCAAATAACAATTTGAAAAATCAGTTATATGGTAAAAGGTGTGCAAACAGCAGCTTAAAGCTTCTGATTTCACTTCTAAGTATTATTATCTGAGGAAAGGCAACACTTGTCATTATAATAAACTCTTCTCCCAGGCAGGCATGAAATTAGGTGCTGTTCAAAAACTCCAAGAGGTGAATTTCCTTTCTTCCTGCTGTTTCCCTATGACCCACCCAAACATGCAGAGATATAGGGTCAAATTTTATCTGCATCTTAGACAGACAAAATGGATAAAATTAATTCTATTTATCCAGTGCACTTCTGTAGGGTATGGTCATCACTTGTTCTCACGATGCCAGCAGCCAAAAGATACTTGGTTAGCAATCCTCGTTTTCAGATCAGGACGGGACTGTGGCTTCAGACTCTCTCTCCTGCTAACTTTCAGAACAGTCCTGACTAGGGATGAGGGAACTGTGGCTCTTCAAAGGGATAGTAATAACAACCTACTGACATTGGTATGCCTTTAAAGGACAATTATAATTTTAAGTGAAATTACTCTGGGCAGTAAAACCAGGCAGGCAATTGGGCAGGCTATTTGATGGCCTCAAAATATATATTTTCTTTTTGAAAAAGGACATTTTCAACAACATGTATTAAGAAATAATGGCATACATCAGATGCTGAGCTATGTAGATTACTTTGGCATTTATCCTGCAATTTTCTTTAAAAAAAGAAAACAAAACCTAAAAATATACATATTTAAACAGGTAAATCCCTCCCCCCCCCTTTTTTTTTTTAAACTACGGGGACCAAAACTAGTAAAAGAGAGGTTAGTTCATGATAACAAATGATAATAAAGAAATAATTAGAAACAACTCTACTCTGAAGTCAGAAGCATTTATATTACTTGCATCGAAGACAACCAAAGAGGAATGCAGTCAACAAGTATTGCCAATATTTCTGCAGTGTTGTTTGTTTTTGGAGGGGTAGGTGGGGTGTAATGCTGTACCTAGGGCAGAATAAATCTGTCAGTTATGAAAATGAAAACAGAGAGAACATTCACTGCTGTGTCCAAAGCTTAATGGTATGGACAACGTAAACAGTCACAATTTTTAAATGAAGAAATAATGAGCATAATTGCTCTTTTATATCAACTTCCACATCATAATGGACTGCCTTGATTCATCCTGTCAAAGCAAAAAATTTATGTCCATCATTGCAGAGTCTAGAATTACAGACTACCAGCAAAAAGAAAAGATTTACATATCCCACCAACAAATATGGAAAGTGGGTCAACAAATACCTAACTTTCTCTATGTAACAACTCTGAAACTCTAAACTTTGGAGCAGCGGTTCTAAGCAAAACTCACAATGAGACAGCAACACTGTGATACAAAAACATCAGGTGAGAAAGCTAAAGAACAAAAGGGAAAGCTTTTTACTGACATCAGTAATGTTTCATTTTCCACTTAGCACCTCAGGTTAAAAAAAATAAATCTCTTCATGAAGTTTAGATTTATCAAAGAATGTACAAGTCCTACAGATTTTTTTCATACCTTTACACCTGCAATCTCTTCACCACAACCGTTAGCTCAGGACAGCATACTTGAGACAGGTATGTTTTCAGCTAGCCTAATATTAGTGACATCAGCCACATTGTAAAACTCTCACTGTTCACTGCCCCAAATGTTACTTTAAATGCTTTAAGCCATATTTGGCTTGAACTGTAGTGGCTGAGGAGCAAACGCAGGTCAGCTGCTGTTGTGACTGCTATGCCGTAGTAAGTTGCAGCTGAAGGATGAAGCCAACTGCTGAACACCTTTTAAATGGTTTCAGCTGAAGTTGTCATGAGATTGTAAACCAGAGCTCCAACCAGTTTGATTAGAATCAGACAGCAACTGGATTAGTGGAACTCCTAAATTAGTATTTGATGAGCTGTGTAATCCATATGTTATCTTCACAGCATTACTAGCTCCAACAAGCTGTGATACAAATAGCATCCACCCCTTTGTCTGCCTCACTTAAAGATTTGTGGAAAGGTTTACACTGAAACTGGCAAAAAATCAAAACTCTTGCTACCCTGATCTTGCAATTCAGTCCAAATGTGTTGCTTGAACGCTTGCCAACTCCATTGGCACATTCTCATTACTTTCTTTGCTTTCATTTTAACCAACTTGAACAGGCAAAGTGTGGAAATACTCTCTTCCAGAGACAAGACACAATCAGTCAGCTGATGGGCAGTATCCCATCTCTCACAGAGCCCAGCATACAGTGAATGCCAATTTCAGTGAGGGAAAGGGCCTCTGCTTTCCACAGGGGCAAAATCAGCACAGTCAGCACCTTGCCTCTCTGGGAGGGTATTCACCACCTCTATTGGCAAACAGCAGTTAATAATACAGAAAAAGATCTTGCACTGAAGGGACACAAAATACTCTCCTTGAGCATCTGCTGGAAGCAGGTCCATCAAGAGGTGCCTTAACTACCACTTTTCAAACACCAATGTATTGGCACAATGCTTATGTACGGCAGAGTAGTCTGGGAGCAAAACTCTATCATACTCCTGCGAACAACATGGGTCTGTGTTCAGGTTGTAGTCATACTCAAGATAAACTTGAATATTTCTTCCTATCATAGGCTGGCTAGGATTGTAGTGAATTAAATAAAGAAACACAACTTTTTGCTTTCAGACTAAACGTAAACTAAACATATTAAATGAGTGGAAAGCTGTCTTTTCTAAAAATTAAGTTTTCTGTTCCTAAATTTCAGCAAGAAAGCTTAGGTCCCAAACTCTCAAGCTTTATTTTAGATTTTCCTCTTTATAGCAATCAAAATGTAACTTGAAACAAGCCAACTATAATGAAATCAACTCTGCTATGAAACAGAATTGTAGTTAGAGCTTTACCTGCCTCCATTTCTTACAATTATTCCAAGGGAGAAACACAGAGTAAGTTATGTTACTATTTACAGTAAAGCAAAATGATAAATATAAGAGCTCAGTAAATAGTAAGCAACAGAAAAAATACAGTAATTTGGAGTTATGTCTTCACTAATATTTAGTAATTCACAGGTGGCATGTTACATCTATGTGCTGTATTCTATTTGACATGTTCACAATCCTTTTTAAGTCAGTCACAAATCCAAACAGTTAGCAGACAGTGTATTTAATAAAACCAGATTTATAAAACTATTACTGTTTGAAACAGCATTTCACCTATTAAATTTTTCTAATACAAAACCAGCTAGTCAAATCAATAGAGAAAGAAAAACAATAAATAATGAAACTGTGAGAAAATATTTGGTGTTATCAAAGCTATAAATATATTAAATATTTCTGATATTATAATGCACTCTCTGTGTGTTTTTTTTTTCCCTCTCCAGAAAACCTCTCCCGATATCTGCAGTTCCTAATCATTTATTCTATAAATACAGCTTAGTTGACTAAGGCTGAAATGTGCTAAGATGCAGTAACGTTTCAAATTCATACATGAAACAATTTGGAAGCTTCCCCCAGGCATTGGCGGCTGCGGCTCCCGCTGCTCTGCTACCCACAATCCCCCCATTTACCTGCTCGCTGGGCTGCCTCAGCCCTGGTCAGGAAGTGGTAAAGCTGATCCAGCTTATCAGGCTGCTCCTCCAGGGACTTCTGCTGCCATATGGCTGACCCAGGCCCTGCAGCCTCCCTCAAGGCATTCCACTTCTGTATCAGAGTGAAGAGCTCGGAGAAGGACTTGTGATAACCCTGTCGCAGCATGTCTATGCAGATGTTCTCCTTGTATGAATTCCTGTTACTGGGAATAAGAAAGACGGATTTTAAGCCTTTAAACCTGCATTCTGTTCTCCACCTTACCAAATAATTACAGATACTAAAACAGCTTTCAAGATGAGACCTCTGCAGTTCACCAGCTGGGAAGGGGTATATTTTTCCCTTCGCAGAAATCATTCTACCAAAATACAATTACAAATATCCTACCCTAGGGAAGTAAACATGGGAATAGTGAATAAATACCCAAATATATATCGCAAACATGTTCAGAATATACTGATATTTTAGCTGGTACTGTTAAAAAAAAAAAAAAAAGGTTGACTGATGGGAAAAAAGATATGTTTACATCAGTTTATGAAAACACAAACTCTTAGTTTGCTTTAAAACACTGCAGAGAGGAAAAGATGAAACATCCTACATGTCAAAACAATGTATACATTCAATAGTTTTGCTGTAGGATACAGTGGCTTGGTTTAATATGTCAAACAAATCTTGTGTCAGAAACACAATTGTTAAATATTATTTTGCTTCTCTTTAGCATATAACTTCAGCTGGGACTGGTTCACATCCTAATTTTAAAATCAAGCGATGCAATGACGAATTTACATCAAAATTATCCAATTCATGAAGTCTGAAAAGATATACTAGTCCAAAAGCTGTATAATCAAATATTCTCAAAAGCTAATATATCTTTTTAGATATTATTTATGGAAATAATCAAAATATTTCTTTTATGCAGCATGAAATGATTATTGTGTCCCAACCTGGAGAAAGCTATGAGTTCAATGGGACTACCTGAAACACTGAAGCGTAAATGTAAATGTTTGCAGGAGCAGCTATCTAGTTTGGGAAAACAAACCCTCATCCCAGTAAAAAGACAAGGACCTAAATGTGGTAATTTTAATTTGTATATTCCACTTAAGTTTTCTATTTGTTTTTAAGACTGTCTTTTAAGATGAGAATCTATTTAACTACTATTTCTGAGAGGCATTAAAATAAATATGGAATTGTGAAAACTGAGATTTGCAGTGTATGCAAGAAATTCAGATGACCTCATGCTGAACAATAGCCCAATTAGAATAGTATTTCTAGCCTAAGAAGAACTACTGCAGTTCTTTAACAATCCTAATTAGACTTGAGATTATGTAAAAAAAAGTCTTAGCTAGATGTCAGTCAAGTAAATGGTAATCTGAGGTGCAAGAACTAAATAATCTGCATTATTTCAAGTTTAATATCATTATTTAAAAAAAGCTATTAATTACTCCATAAACTCACATTAATCCTTCATTTGTATTTCTTACATTTTAGTTGCAGAACTGAACACAAAAAATATTACACAATTCTAAAAGGTACATGATATGACAGACTAAAATACTGAATGTATTTTTTAATGTATATGTATTTCAATATGGAAAAATGCAGTGTTTACGTATACAAGAGAAAAAACATAACTATTCTGTACCAGAAAAACATTTGCAAAATTTATCTTAGAAAAGTAAATGAGAAGTATCTTTAATCATTTACACTATATTTGGCACATACCAGGTTCTCAGTATACAGCTTCAAAATACCACACAGATATTATATTAATAAGGTACAATATATTATCTACTCTGTATATGGAATGCTTTTTTCTTTTTAAAATGTGTGGTTTTTTTTTGTTGTTTTTTTTTAACAACAAAAAAAATATATATGTAAAAAATTCCCAGCATCTTTGAAAGGCCTAGGACTGAATCCTACAGTAATATCACCCAAAGCATTGGAAAAAAATCTAAATAGCAGACGTACATACATGCATCTTTATTTATCTATATGTGGTCTGTACGTTAGTATATGTGTGTATGCATTATATGATCAGATGTGTTAGAAGCAAAGAAGAAAGTAATTAGCTGCTAAAACATCTTAATAGTAACTGAACAAAACATCATTCAGTTCATTTTTAACACTCAATACACAGTACCAGTATTTGTATAAATAGAAAAACTGTGTCTGTGTAAGATGTTACTTGTTGTGTATTAACGCACTTGATGTCAAAGCACATTTTCTGCACAAGACAGCATTATTAATGAACCAACACAGGAAAACAAAAAATGCAGGAAAACTTCTGTTTAAAAATTAGTTTCACCATTCTTTTTTAACAAAAGGCCATGCAACTTAATATATAAATTGAAATAATGCTGAAGTTACCAAATGTACAGAGCACATTTCTTCTTTGCCAAAGATAACTGTGTTGATAACTCTTAAGCAATGAAACTATCTTGTGTATAGCCACTCAAATTTTAGAGGCATAAAGATAAAAGTTATCTCACAAAGCTATAATTAAAAACAGGCAGTACACAAAGAGACGAACAATACATGTGTTTCTTTAAATTACTACAACACATCAGCCACAAGTGCCTGATCACACGAAAGATACAGAAAGGCCAGAAATGAACGATAGTATGGGGATGAATGTTATTAGTGACACCTAAGAGAGAGCTTAACACTGCAACCGATTTCTGAAATTGGTTCAGTTATCCGAGTGGATCCAGATGGAAATGCCAGGCTTCTTTCTCCAACAAGCAGTCCTTCTGAACAGAGGAGCAGTGTCAGTGACAGAAGAAAACTGAAAAGTTCTTGAAATATCTTTCAGTATCTTGAAATAAATTATAAGTCCTCAATCCTCAAAATCCTTTTTGTACCGCTTTTTATAATATTGTGCAGCATGTAAAATAAGAGATTAAATACAATGCCTCATGTTTTACATTACTGCACATTACTTTATTCCTAACATCAGTATCAAAAATGGATACCTAATTAAATGTATGTGATTTATTTTATAAAATCCAACTGCTAACTTTATGGTTCTAGTACATTAATAAACTAGTTTATGCTGAGCCTTTTGAACCTTACTACCACATGTATTAATTATGATATATTACTAAAACAGCAAGTTTATTTTTCTACATTGCGTCCACGCCGATTTTAGGTTTCCTTTGAACAATTATGTTACTCCGGGAAGCAAAATGAAAAAAGACTGGCCTTTCATTTGGTTGAAGCGGAGCCGTTCAGGAGGTTTAATGGTCTCTGGGGGCATCTACTGGAAAACTGGAAAACTGCAGGCCGGACAAGTTAATCAGGCAGCTGTCAGCGCGGCACGGCGCGGCGCAGAACAAAGGGAAGGCGCAGCACGGAGCCTGTTCGCGGGGCGCAGCCCGAGCAGGGCGCAGGACAAGAGCCCGGCTCCACTGCCTGCGCTGCCTCCCGCTGCTCGCTGCCCCAAAAGCACGGTGCCAGAAACATGCCTGCACTGCGCGCAAGCAAGCAATTAAGCTAATCAGATTATAAGGAGTGCATAGCCGGGTAATGTTACCCGTGTTTCATTTTGAAATTGAACTGTAAGGTGAATATAGACCTGAAGTCCCCTTTCCCCTTTGAACGACCACATGCGCATGTTGGGAGAAAGATTTCAAATGCACCTGTAAAGACATCTTATTAATAACAACAACATCTGTTTTTATGATCAAACAGAAGCAAATAAATCTAAACTAGCAGATTACTTATTTTTAAATCACGAAAGCAACAGATGAAAGCCGATACTTAACGCAAACACAGAGGAACAGCGGATGCTCAGCACTATCTGATTGCACACTCGTCTCCCTCATCCACAATCTCTCTCATCTTTCATCGACATCCCTGTTGATGTTACTAGATATTGGTTCATCCAGGTTGGGTAAAGTAGTGAAACGATGTCACCTTACTGATCTGGTTGGGTATTCTGCCTTTGGCATACACCAGCAAAATTCTGTTTACTTGTGGGGTGGTGTGTGTGTGCGTGTGTGTGCGTGTGTGTGTGTGTGTGTGAATCAGCAACATTTCCGATACTAAATAAATAAGCACTAAAGTTAAAGCTGCCATTTTATTAGGACCATGTTTTAGATGGCACAGGTAGAAGCAGCTATTGAATGTAGATCTGCAAGCTTGAAAAGGCACTGCTACTGTTCACATGGAACGCCCTTTAAACGTACCAGAATATTGCTACAGGTATTTCACTTTACTTACACTACACAACTACTTATATAATTTTCTTTTATTATCATTGCTATTCAAAGCCATCCAGAGCCATGCTGAGAAATCTGGCTTGAGCACAGAAACGTGATTCTGATCTGCATTTACTGGTGCAAAAATCAGAAACACAAATCTTCACTGAGGCTAATGAAATTACATTGCTGTTGCCATCTCAGGGACCTTCCTATGTTACCGTACTGTACTTTTACAAGAGTCTTAAGCAATGTGTGGAGATCAGCAGAGTATCATCCTACTTTCCCTTTAACTTCAAATCCTACACAACAAAGCTATTTGCTTTCTATCCTTTACAGAGAGAAAAGGAAACAGAAATTAAGAGGCCAAGTGACAAGTACTGGTATTAGGAATAATCAAAATAGTCAATATATCATACCAGAATTTCTTATTGTGAGCTTAACTCTCCATATCTCCTGTCTGATGTAGTCAGTTACAGACATGCAAAATAGGTGCAAATGGCTACTAGTTTCAGATGCCAATTTTTTTTTTTTTCATATTAAAGTTTGTATCTTTAAATTCTCTAGGATTTAGTTAGTACTATAGGTTAATGCCAGCTGCTGATTACAATGCAAGCGTACTGTAATTATCTCATTTTGTAAAGCACTAAATGGCATAGATTAAACAACGATAGTATATAAAATTAAAATGTATTAACAATGTAAAATAATTACTATACCAATGATTGTACTATCTAAAAACTGTATTCAGATAGATTTCATCCACTTGGGATTTCCTCTGTAGCTCAAAAGTTAATGACTGATATAAATGCCTTAGATCAGGATGACAAAATTTAGAAAAAATAACCAAGATATTTTTGCTTACCTTTATTTAAGCAAGTACTAGTTATTATACTTATTGTCTATAAAACTACATGAAAAAATAATATAAATCAAGTATGTGAACACTTAGCTACTTTATGCTTAACTTATACACATACACACATAATATAAACAGGGACGTATT